GCCAGTGGAGGATAAGGAAACCAGAAAACAGGCTATTTCTGGAGGGTAGGTATCAGTCTCTGGCTTAGGCTAGGAAGCAATGGGAATGAGGCTGGAGAGAAATTGAAGCCTACAGGAGATGCACTTGCAAGACTGAAATAATAGGTTATTTCAGGGGTGAAGGAGAGGCAAGGACCCCAACTGTCTTCTAGGCTTCTGGCATGAACCACCAAAAAGCAAGGAGGCCGTATGTTGAGAGAGGGAACCCTGGGTAGGAGCAAGATTAGGAGGCAGGGGAAGAGAAACAAGCCAATTTTATACACTTCATACATCCAGTGGTATGTGGTAGGAAGTTGGATGTTCAGTCTGAGCTTAGGAGGGTAACCTGGCTAGTCATACAGATTTGGGAACCATATGCATGTAGGACATACATAAAGTTATGGATGTGGATGTGGTCTCCAACTGAGAGAGTAAAGAGGAAGAAAAAGGCCTCAAGGAGAGAACGCTGAGACTCTCCCAATTTCAAAAACTAGTTCAGGGGAAGAGTAGCTAATAAAAAAGATTAAAAAATGAACAAACAAAAAAGCCAATGGAAAACCAACCAACCAACCAACCAACCAACCAATTAATCTCAAGAGCTAAGTAATGCGAGGGAAACTAAGGGAGAGAGTTTTGAAGGAAAGGGAGTGGTCACAGGACCTAAAGCCCCTGAGAGTCAAGTAGTAGGAAGACAGAAAAAAATGTCTATTGACCCTTAATGGCAAGGAGGTCATAACTGACTTTGGTAAAAAGTTTCAGTGGGACAGTGTGTAAAACTCAATGAAATGTGTTGGGCAGAAAGTGGATAAAAAGAACAGGAGAGAGTGATCATACCTAACTCTTTCATGAAGCTTTGTTATAAAAGGTGGCAGGGCCTACTGCTGAAGTAGGCTGTGGAGTTGAGAGGTTTGCTTTTAAGTTCATTTGCTTGCTGTTGTTGTTGTTATTGTCTTTTTTTTTTTTTTTTGCTGGTTTTAAAATGGGACAGAGGTGGGGGCGGTTGGAGAGATTTTGAGAGAAGAGAAAGAAAGGAGAAGATACATTCATGATAGAGGGGATAATCAAAATAAGAAATCCTGGGAAGGCAAAAGGAGAGAACCAGTGAAGAATGGAGGGCTATGAGGAGGTAAATCTCTTCCTTTGAAACAAACTGAAGAAGTAAAGAACTGATGTGTGAGTAAGCTTGTAATATTTGACTAAAGAATATCTCATCTGATGAGTTTTACTTCATTTGTGGAGAAGTTAAGATTATCTGCTTTGTAGACAAGAGGATATAGGATTAAAGGGAGAAGAAAAAATAGGAAAATTCATTGAAGAAAATCAGAGTGAATTGAAGGGAAAAAACACAGTAAGACTGTGGGGGCAGAGCTGAGTACCCACTTGAAATTGGCAGCTTTTCATCCATAGTGGTGGCCATCTATTTCCATGTGATGTTTTCTAAGAGTGTTTGGCCACTCAAGAGAAGTAGTGTTTTAGGTCAGAGCCTGATTTCCATGTAGACAAGCAAGTTGAGGGAATTTTCAGTGAAATTGTTAGAAAAACCTTACAGAGCCATTGCGAGACCAGGTTTCCTTCTGTTGCAAAGAGATGGTTGTAGCTATGATAGCTATCATCTATCCCATAGCTAAATGGTGTAAATTCCAAGTTTCAATCTTCAAAAATCCTGGACTTTAAGTAGGAATGCATGTTATCCAAAATAAAGTATTTCCAAATCATAACAAAGACTTTGCAATTGGAAAATAGGGACTTGCTGAAGCTCATTAATTTCTCTGTCGCCGTCTTTTTCTTAGGCACGAGTCAAAAAGTGGTTTTGAACTTAAACTGAAAGTTAAACAAAACACAATTGAATTAGGCCTACAATAATTCAAGCCTTTCTGTGAGAAACAAGTTTAAACTTGTAACTTTTCTTTTTCTCTTTAAATATTCATAGAGAAACCGATTTGTTGAAAATCACCCTTTTTGAGTTAGAAGATACAGCCAGACTCATTGACTGAAAATATTTACGTAATTGTTTAAATTTAGATGCTTTAGAGATTACTTCATCAAGTTGCTTACCAAATAGTAAATTTAATGAGGTTTCCACTGAAAATGCGCCATCACAATGGATCATAACAGTATGATACATAAGCAATGACCTCGCATTTTACTAAAATATAGGTCCTTATAATCAAAGTGTTACAGTTTAATGAACCCAAGATTTTCTAGATGCTTTACTGTTTCTTGAAAGCGATGAAATCTTGATGGAGGAGGACCTCAAAGCTGATATAAATATAAATAGAAGCACCCTGGAGGCTTTGACAGTAAGACACTACTTTTTGAATAGCGCGTGATCATCACTCAAAGCCATTTTTATTGTATCTTACTGTTATTCACGGACATGATTACTACTTTTTGCAAACTCTTCAATCTAGCATTCAAAGACTTCCTACCAAGTTTCCTCCTTTAGGAAGCTTCTTTTTCTCTACTCTTCTTACCTGCTCCCTCATAACATCAAAACAATGTGCATTTCCCCTACACAGAACCTAATGTTTCTTGCCTCCACATCTTGGAATATACCATCCCTTTTGCTCCTGTTATTTATGCTAAGTCCATGCTTCCTTTCATAATTTGACATTTTTTCTAATAAACAAAAAACCCCCCCAACTTTCATAATTAATTCCATGTGGCTCTTCAAATCTCTATTCACCTCGGCTTTCCTTTGTGGGCAATCAGGAGTAATAAGTTGTGTTGCTATTTTTATCTTTAAGATTTCCATCAATCCATTTAGATTCACTCTGTCTCTATATTGAGAATAATGCTAATGCTACTTTCCTAGTGGATTTGTTGTCATGATTAAACAATATAATGCATAGGAAGTATTTAGAACAGAGCTGGCACATGGTAGTCTTAATAAATATTATGCTAAAGCAAATACTTGTATTTTCTGTTTAGAGTAAGTGGCTGAGACTTTTCTAAGCCTTTGCTTGTGCTCAGTTCACACAGAATAATGCTTCTTTCAGGAGTGACTTCAAGAAGTCACTTCTCTATTCTCTATAGACAACAAAGAATATTGAGAATTATGTTCATCTTAAAAACATCTTAAGTCACATGGATTTCTTCTCATTCTTGGGCTATTTGAACTTTCATTATCTTTTTAGATATTAGATGATGTCAAGCTGTTGGTGGTTGTTAACTGTAGCGCAAATACTAGTTAAGGATGTAACCAATCTGTGGCACTTATGATAGAGCTTGGCGTTCAGGGAGGGTTCAATAAATATTGTTTTGTCATATATTTTTAAATAGGCTCCACCCAACATGGGGCTTCAACTCACTACCCTGAGATCAAGAGTTGCATCCTCTACTGGCTGAGCCAGCTGGCCTCCCTCTTTTCTTGTTGTATTTTGAGTGTTCAGGGTTTCCCTATCCTTTCTTCTGAATTCAATGATTAAATTGCATTAAAAAAAATCCAAAATGCCTTTTAAAATATTTCAGGATATTTTCATTAATTAAAAAATAAGTCAGTGATATCTTAGAAATTATTTTATCTATATCACTTAAAATTTGCACATCTGTGACACCCTAATTTTTGAGATGACCTTTTTAAATTGGGGAAGCTAACTGACCGCCAAGTATCTTACCAGATATTTTCATTAAATTTTTTTTAGCACATCTGAAAATCTTCAAAATCAATTCAAGAAGTCTTTAAAGAGCAACTACCACAGGCTCAGTATTGTATTGTATATTAATTTGCAAATATGATCTGTAAAATATTAAAATCTAAAAATGAATTCTAAAAAGTTTTGCCAGCTTTCACGTTGGATTACTTTAAATCCGTTTTAAAAATGCAAAACTGGTTCTAAAGGAAAAGTCTTTAGTAAGAACCTTTACTTTCTAATTTTCCACAGATATTTTGCCCTTTAAGAAAGGCAGCTTCAACAAAAGCAAGGTCTTCCATTGTGTGCTTATTGAAACATAAAGTTTAAAAAAGTTTAAAAAACAAGCACTTGGGGCTACAAGAGGTCTTCAAAGATATTTTCATTGAATTCCTTTAATTTGGGAAATTCATAAGTTCTTCATTTCCAAGCATTAGCAATAATTTGCCTTTAAGATATAATTTTTAAAATACTTCAACAAATCATTAAATATTTTATTGTTTTTGGACACAAGACCGTTTCCAAAGACTTCTGTTATGAGAAACACTTCTTGCAAAAATAGACCTTCAGGTACCTCGATATTTCTGCCCTGCGTAATACTGTTTTGGAACGAGATTAATAGCGCCGATCTATAATATTTTGTCTACACATCCTCGCAGTCTCATAATTTTTAATTTTGGATTGTAATTTGCATCTCTCACGTGGCTCCACCTTTCACCAAGGTTTGAGTCAGCTGACTGGTGCCAGACCTGAATTTGGAGCGGGTCATTTGAGACCGCGTTCCCGGGAGTTAGAGGGAAACTTGAAACTCAGACACAAACACGGGGGCGGGATTAACCGACAGGGCTCCGCACCGGTTCCCAACTGATTGGAAGGAACGAAGTGGGTGGAACCTCCGGACCCGGCCCTCGCGCCTCGGTCGCTAGGGACGCTTTGGCCCGGGCATCACGATGGATCAGGACGAGGGGCTGACGGCCGTGGACAACATAGTCACTCAGTTCAACACCTATGAAGATTTCCTCGACTCGCAGATCACTACCGTGGACCTGTACTACCTGGAGGTAAGGGTCGCGGCGCCAGAGTGCAACTCCGCCCCTCCGCCCCTTCCCCGCCTTCCTCCCTCTCAGTCCTTCCAGAGTCCCCGCGTCGTGGGGTGATCGCCCCCTGGCGGTGGACCCCGGCGAGGTCAGGCTCCGCAGTTTCCCGACGGCGGCGCCAGGGAAGCGCCGGAGCTAAATCGCTGAATCGCGGCTTCGGACCGTGCGGATCTCGCGCCCCTCGTGGCGGGCGGCGCGGAAACACGCGCGTGCGCAGTCACGCACGCACGCACGCACGCGGGGGAGTCTTCAATATCTGTGTGTCCTTCTCTCGTGCTCCTCCCTGCCCACTCTTTGCAAATCACTGCCTTTGAGGAGGAGGCTGGATTCGGAGACCCTTGCCTGGGCTGTATGTAAATCAGGTCTGGCACGCCGTTTCTCTTTGCTTTGCCAGTTTGTATTAAAGCGGAGAAGACAGTACCCTTCCAGGGCACGTGGCAACACCAACCTGGTGTGTGTATCTGCTGTTATATTGGGCATCTGTGTCCATAAACTTCCACCCAACGCTAGTCGGCGCAGAAAACCCCTCAGTTACGGATACGCAGTACAGGTCGTTGTGCAGGCATATTCCTCAGACTTACCGAGTCGAGAATCACAACTAATGTTGATAGTTTAAAAAAAAAAAAAAAAAGCCTGCTATACCGCAAAATTGGACGTAATGGGATTGGCTACTGGCTTCCACTCGGCAACCGTCTTCCTCCCTGCTTCTTTAAAGGTGTGTGTTTGATGGGGGGGGGGGATATAGGGTGGGGGCGGTGGAATAGAGGTCTCGCGTTCTCCGTGAGGCGAGCCAGGATGGGCAGGAAAATAATAGGCTACCGGTCCTGAGAGGCAGGAGGTGAGCGGTGGATCCCTATAGCCCTAGGTTATTGCCAGACGGAGGCCGACCGAATGGGCACTGCCCTGGAGATTCTGCTGGCCTGGGGCCAAGACACAACCCCAATTGCCCCCTCCTTATTTAGGCCAGACGGAACAAGGGCCACTGTGGGCGCCAAATCACAGCGGAGTCTTGGGAAGGCTTTGGAGCCTGCAGCTAGCTCCCCAAATTTCATATTTGCAACAACATAATTCTGCAATTTAGTGGATTGAAATTTTTGGACTCCGGAGATCACGTTAAGCAGGATTTTACTTAAATGTTAATTGCAAGGTTTGAAAAGTTGTTGTTATTCAAAACACATTCATGTGCTAGGCACGAACATAGTTTTTAAGAAGTGGAAGCATATAATTCTAGTCTTATATGTGCCACAAACAAGTTGTGTGACTTTGGACAAGTAATTTGATCTTTCTGGAATTATCTGTTAAAATACATCCCGGTGATATTTACAACATAGCTTCTGGCTTCAAAACAAGCTTTTTAATATTTTACACAGTATGTTTAAAGTCATGAATGCGTTGCATCTAAAACACTAAAACGAAGACTGAAAATTAATGGTACTAAACAGTGTTTGCATCAACATTTTTGCGTGTTTAAATAAACAACAATGAAATAGAGATAATAAACAACAATGAAATAGAGATAATAAACATACCAATAGGATAAAATCATCTTTATACCACATGTGGAAAATTGCTAAGCTTAAGCCTAGTATCCTTAAGAAGGGTTTCAAAAATTTTTTTAGGGTTGGGTTCTTCATGTAAGAATTAAAAACGTTAATGTTAATTAGGAGTGAGAAATCAATCCTTTGTGTTTCATCAGTCAGAATTTTAAAGGTCTCTAAAATGGAAAATTATGTATTTGGGGAAATGATAAAGAAATTTACTTATAATTTGGCATGGTTTAGCATATTCTTATTGTGCTTTCATAGAAAATAAGATAAAGATTTAATTGAATAATATTAAGGCAAGTATGTATATTTTGGATTGGGTAATGAAAATTTTTAAGTGTCATTTGCTCTGGGGACTTATATTCTCAAATACTTCCTGTGGATGCAAGTTTATTGCTCACTTAGGTTGCACAGAGACAAGTGGATTCCTCCTAATTGGTTCATTAGTAAGGCTAGTATAGAAGGCACGTGCCGTGGATCATGGATCCCACTTTGTAAGATGATTCTTACTCTGTGTGTGTTTTTGTAATCAGTAATTGACTTTGATGTGACTGAAGCAAGTTTTAAATGGTAAATGAGAGATGGCATATTTTAGTCAGAAGAGCCTAGAGTCATAAGATTTGGGTTCTAATTCTGTATTGCATTTTAAACAGTTTGAAACTCCATTTCCTCATCTGCAAAGTGAAGGGGCTGTACTAGATAACATTAAAGGTTATGTGTGTAAAATTTTATGAGTCATCTATACATCTGTCCATCCAGGCATCCATGTATTCACCCAACTATCTAATAAACCTTCAGCGGGAGCCTACTGTAATAGATAGCACCTTAAATTGCTAGGAATTTAAGTAAGAATCAGTTCTAGTCACCTAACTTTATTTTTTATTTATTTTTTAAAAAACTCTTATTTATTTGAGAGAGAGAGAGAGAGCACAAGCAGTGGGAGGAGCAGACTCTCTGCTGAGCAGTGAGCCAAAGTCACGGCGTCACGGGGCTCCATCCCAGGACCCTGGGATTATGACCTGACCTAAAGGCAGTAGTTTAGCTGACTGAGCCACCCAGGCGCCCCATAGTCACCTAACTTTAGTATTGTGCTTACAGTTCAGTCTAAGTTTTATTTATTCAGCAAACATTTTGCAAGTATTTATTATCTTCCAGTTAATCTTCTGTTATATAGAATATTATCCTATGGCTGTAAGTTTTCAATTAATTTTAGTAAAAGTACCAGTGCTTCACATACAAAGCGGCCATATTATCTTTGCTGGATGCATTCTCTATTCTTCTCCACCCGTATGTGTGTCCCTAGAAGCTGTCCTCTGCAGTCTTTAACCAGGCTCTTTTGGCTTTGGCTTTGTTTCAGCCGATAGGAGATCAGAGGGCAAGAAGAGGAGTTAGAGAATTTATTCCCTCTCATATTCCTACTGGTTGTGGTTTGGAAGTGGCTGCATCTTTTAGGTTTGGCCGGCTTCTCATTCCATCAACTACAGCAGTCTTTCCTGGTGCTGGCAGCGCTCTCTCTTCTAGGAACTGTTTCCTCTCCTGTCTCCTTTTAGGCCTAATGGTGTTAATGACCTCCTACTGTTGCTAGTCTCTGATACTACATCATCCTATGTTGGTTTCCATTAATTTTGGGATATCTTTGTAAATTGTGCTTTTATTCTTTTTAAGCATCTCTTTTGCATTTGGCTGCTGCGACCCTGACCTCTATATTTTCATTCAACATCTCAGACCACTATAAGTATACAAGTAGTATATGTATATACTAACTGCAGTGTTTTTATATGATTAAGATTAGGAAGGAAGGGTGCTCACTTTGGCAGCACATATACTGAAAAAGGAGTAGGAAGGAAGGGACATGGGAGAAAAAAATGAAGACCTGCACCAGTCAACTATTTGATGAAATGGAGAAGGGTAAGATGGTTAAGGAGAATAAAAGAGGCTCTTCATCCTATGTCTACTGTGCTTTGCTCATTTTACTGGATGCTCCCTATAATTCATGAGAGGACATTTATAACAGTATCAGCAATTAGATTTATCTCTGCTAAACCAAATAACAATATTTATTCTAGGAGTTAGTGTTACCTTAAACTAATTAAATTAATCCCCTAAATTGATACAAAAATACTTGAAAAATTTTAGCAAAATTTTTGCACTATGACTTTCCAGATTCTTTCTGGGTAACTCTTCCATGCTGAATAAACACAGTCCCTTCATTTCAGCTGTGGCCGTCTGTGGCCACTAGAGAACCAAAAGACCTATTGAATTGCTTTTCCCAGGTAAGGAATCAAGGGGTGTTTTTAGAATTGTTTTTAAATTTCCCTGACTAATGCATCCTAATTGTGGCTAAATTACTTGTAGAGATTAGCAGTGTGAAAGTTTTGTTTAGAGATTATCCTCCCATTATTTAGAAACTAGAAATAAATCACACAAATTAAACTTTTGGACATGATCTTAAAATTATTTGGCAGATTAAGTGAGATTCCAGGAAAAATCCAGTAGCACAATTTACCATGATTATACAATAAGCTGGCTAATAACAAACCAGTACTTATTGCATTTTTCCTGTATTTTTCTACTATATATTGGATCAGGTACAGAGTAGATGATGTTTCCTATGAAATAATCTTACTTCATATATTTCAGAATCAGCAGTACTCTTTTGTTGATTAACTAGGAAAAAAAATTGGCATAAATTAGCCACTCTCTGCTTAAGAGGAGTCCTACATTTTTCCTTCAGTAGGTTCACAGAGGTGCTTATCTCTAAGTAAACATATCTAATTCTTCAAGGACATGAATTCTGATGATCAGGGGTGAAACTGAATCTAGAATGCCATATCCACAGAACTTCTGAAACCATCATAATGACAAATTTTAAATGCTGTGAGCCTAGTATCATCCTCAGTGTCTCAAACAATCCCCCCCCCAAATCTATATTCTTTGTATTTAAAGTATGTTCCTTTCATCTGGTACTATATTGACTTCAAAAGCTACTGCTGGAGGGCATGAGTGGAGGCAGGGAAGGTGTCTGAGTGTGGAGAATGAGAGAAGACAGGGGGCTTATGGCAAAATGCTGGAGAACAGCCATTACTTAAGGTGTGGGCATGGAGGTGGTGCTCACAAGGATAATGATAAGGGGGTTCAAAAAAATAGGAGGAAATAAGGAGAATGGGATGATTCAGAAGCCAAGAGCAGTTGGATACCAAAACCAAAAACCCTTGAACAACATTTACACAAAGCTAGGTGAGAGTTCTTTCTATGACCCCTAACATTAAAGCAGATGGGGAGAAATCATCCATAGCCATAACATCTAAAAGGTATTGGCATCCATGTGGTAGAAAAGTAGAGAGGACAATGGGGCATCTAAAGGACCCCTAAACAAGAAAGAGCAAAATAGTCAACAGCTATTCACTGGTAGTGGAATGGTCCACTTTGAGAACAGCAGCTAAAAGTGGGAGGGGTTTTGGCTGCTGAGTAGCAGGTGAGTATGTAGGTTCCCAGGGAAGGTCTGAAGGAGCTACAGCAATGTAGCCGGTGTGAACTCTTGAAACTACCTTCCATAGCTGACTTTTGAGCAGTGCTCCACACTGTGGAGATGCTGTTAGGAGTGGAATCAACATTGAGCCAGATGGGGACAGTAGAGACAAAATTTGAAAGAGAAAGATAAGATAAAAGCAGGAGGGTAAAAGAAAAAAACCCAGAATGCAAGTGCCAATTGAACACCGTATGGAAACAAAAGAACAGGGAAGTTCTATAAGCCAGTTTCTTCTAAAAGTTAAGGAGAACCAAAAATGAGCTATAGAAAAGCATTGAGGTCAAAGCCCATTCAAATTTATAAGAGAAAAGAGGGTAAGGAGCAGAATAGCATTCCTATCCTCCCTAACAAAACTGTGACCTTCTTTTTGAGTACAAACTAAAAGACATTAAGAAAATGACATACACATGAAAGAATTTAGAGATGATGTGACAGAATTCAGGAAATAATTAAGAAAAAAAGGAAATCTTTAGAAATGAAAACCTAGAAGGAACACAAGAATGTATAAACAGAGTAGATGATATCCTAAAGAAATAGATGGTTAAAAGGAGGAAAATTTTGGGGGATGAGGGGTGCATTAGCCCAGTGATGGGTATTAAGGAGGGCATGTATTGCATGGAGCACTGGGTGTTACACGCAAAC